TGGAGAACTTATGGAACAATTCAAACCTGCATCATTTTACGCAATGTATTCTATGTCAAGAATCGTCATGTCCATATATCTAAAATAAGTGAATTTTGAAACGTACCCAAAATTAAAAGCAGGCAGACGGTTTTTAAAAGCAGAAATTGTTTTGATAAAATGAGTAAATATTTAAATGAAGCTTTTGATTCACAATAATATTAACAGAGTTTGGTTTTAAAACAATTTTTCCTCAGTTAATTTAGTATTTATTTGCCATTTACAATATTTTATAAATGTTATAGATTACGAAAACCTTCTCGTTATTAAGAATGTATGATTGTGGTTGTAGATAAAGTATAGTTCATTACTAGAGTTGTAAGAGCAATTACATGCTCGTAGAATTACTGCTCTCACCGCTAACGCGACTCGTTCGCAACTTTTCTACTCTCCTGTAATTAGCTTCTTAGTACTATTGTTATGTATTATACTTGTAATGAAAAACTGTGTTCATGTTTTATATTAGTTTTGTACATCCTGTATGGTTTATTTATTCTTTGTTATAGAGTTGTCATATTATTTACTGTCACTAAAATTCTGTTCAATAAAGCCTAATTTCAGAAGGTATTTTCATTACAATTTATTGAACAGAATGGATAAGTTTCTAAAGCCCGAGAGATTTGAAACAGATCCCAATTCACCACGCGCAACTCAGGAATGGAAACACTGGTTTAAAACTTTCGAAAACTTTATTTCATCAATTGCCAGCTTAAAGGACGAAGATAAATTTAAAGTTCTTATCAATCATCTAAGCAATTCAACATACGAATATATCTCCGAGTGTTCCAATTATCCTGCTGCAATAAAAGTTTTAACTGAAATCTACGTTAAACCTAAAAACGAAATATACTCTAAGCATAAATTGTCAACTAGAAAGCAACTTCCTGGAGAATCGATTAATCAGTATGTAAGAAGTCTCGAACAATTAAGCAAAGAATGTAGTTTTAAAGCAGTGACTGCTGAAGAAAATAAAAGTGAGTACATTCGAGATGCCTTTATTAATGGAATTATTTGTGTCCAAATTCGACAACGCCTCTTAGAAAATAATAACTTAAGTCTTGCCGACGCTGTGAGTAAAGCTCAATCTCTAGAAGCTGCCCAACAACATTCCAGTGCTTATGTATCTCCATTAAGTCTTGCCTCTACTGTATCAAACGAAACCAACAATCCAACCACCTCACAGACATCATCTACTGATCCTATTCCACAAACAGTTGCAGCCTTAGAAAGGTATAGATGTTATTTTTGTGGAAACAAAAAACATCCTCGTTTCACTTGTCCTGCTAAAGACCAAACATGTAAAGAATGTGGCAAAAGAGGTCATTTCTCAAACGTATGTATGAGCAAAAGGCTTAAAAATAGGTCCACGTCAGCTTCACTTTTACACACGACTGGTTTAATCGCGGCTGCTCCACAATGTCTTTCAAAATCATTGATAAAAGTTAAGATCAATAATATTCCAGCTCACGCCCTCATTGATACTGGCAGTTCCGAGTCCTACATTGACGAACATTTTGTTAGAAATATTAAATTGCAAATACTACCAAGTAATGGCAAAATATCAATGGCTTCTACTGCCCTAAGCTCAGACATATCTGGTCACTGTTTCGTTAACTTGGATTTAATGGAATATCACGATAAAAATAAAAAGCTATCTGTACTTAAAAATCTCTGTGCTGACGTCATAATTGGACATGACATCCTTAAAAACTATTCTAAGGTCGAACTAGACTTTGGTGGTCCTAGACCAGCATTAACAATCTGCGGTTTGGTTTTAGCCAAAGTCGAACCACAAAGTCTATTTAATAATCTTGCTCCTAATTGTACGCCAATAGCTACAAGATCCCGAAAACATTCTTGTGACGATAAAAAATTTATACATGAAGAAATCCAAAAACTCCTTGGTGAAGGAATAATAGAGGAAAGTACCTCACCTTGGAGAGCTCAAGTTCTAATTACTAAAAATGAACATCATAAAAAGAGAATGGTAGTAGATTACTCGCAGACAATTAATCGCTTTACATTTTTGGATGCATATCCCTTACCTAATATTGAAGAACTTATCGCTCTCATTTCAAAATACAATTTCTTTAGTACAATCGATCTTAGAAGTGCTTACCATCAAGTTCCGATACGGGAAGAAGAAAAACTTTATACTGCTTTCGAAGCTAATGGGACGCTCTATCAATTCCGAAGAATCCCATTTGGTGTAACCAATGGTGTAGCGTGCTTTCAGAGAGTTATTGACAGTATTATCAAACGAGAAAAACTACCTGGCGTCTATGCATACTTAGATGATGTCACAGTATGTGGAACCAGTCAAGCTGATCATGACGAGAACCTTCAAAAATTTTTGGCTTCTGCAGAAAAATACAACCTTACCCTTAACTATGAAAAATGTCACTTTTCAAAACGTTCGATCAAAATTCTGGGCTACCTTATTGAAGATCATATTATAAAGCCTGACCCAGATAGACTAGAACCTCTAAAAAATTTACCTCCACCTACAAACCTGGCATCTCTTAAAAGAATTATGGGGTTATTCGCTCACTACTCTAAATGGATACCAGGGTTTTCAAATAAAATTCATCGGTTAAATACATGTAAAATATTTCCTCTTCCAACGGCAGAAATGTCAGACTTTGAAGAATTAAAAAAGGATATAATTCAATCAGCTGTAACTGCCATTGACGAGCGCATACCCTTTGTAGTTGAAACTGACGCGTCTGACTACGCTATAGCAGCAACTTTAAGCCAATCAAGCAAGCCCGTTGCATTTTTCTCCCGAACTCTATCAGCTAGTGAACAAAGGCATTCTTCAGTAGAGAAGGAGGCCTATGCTATAGTTGAGGCGTTAAAGAAATGGCGTCATTTTCTTATTGGGAAGCACTTCAAACTAATAACAGACCAAAAATCTGTTTCCTTTATGTTTAATAACAAACATGCAAGTAAAATCAAAAATGAAAAGATCTTAAGATGGCGACTAGAGCTAGCTTGCTTTAGCTATGATATAGTATATCGTCCGGGCACCGAGAATACTGTCAGCGATACATTTACTAGAATATGCAGTTCAACTACTGGAAATACTTTATTTGACCTCCACAATGCTCTGTGTCACCCTGGTATCACAAGAATGACTCACTGGGTAAGATCACGCAATTTACCATTCTCTATTGATGAAATTCGAAAAACTACTGCTGCTTGTCCGATTTGTGCTCAAGTAAAACCCAAGTTTCTTAGGTTTCACAAATCTAAATTAATAAAAGCGACTGCTCCTTTTGAACGACTTAATATCGACTTCAAAGGACCTTTACCATCTACATCAAGAAACAGATATCTTTTAACTATCATCGATGAGTATTCCCGGTTTCCATTTGCCTTTCCCTGTTCCGACATGACTTCTAGTAGTGTTATAAAATGTCTTTCCAAGATTTTTTCACTTTTCGGAATGCCATCATACATCCATTCAGACCAGGGTGCTTCTTTCATGTCATCTGAATTAAAACAATATTTGCATTCTAGAGGAGTAGCAACAAGTCGAAGTACACCTTATAATCCAGAAGGAAATGGCCAAGTTGAAAGATACAACGGAATTATTTGGAAAACTATAAATTTAGCTTTGAAGTCAAATTCATTAAAAACTATGCAATGGGAGCTAGTTTTAGATGACGCTCTGCATTCTATTCGCTCCTTACTTTGTACCTCTATAAATTGCACTCCTCATGAAAGGATGTTCCCTTTTCCAAGAAAATCTACTTTTGGAACTGCTATTCCTTCGTGGCTCTCAATTCCAGGTCCAGTATTTATAAAAAATCAAGTCCGAAATAGTAAGTTTGATCCTTTAGTAGAAGAAGCTGAACTTGTAGAAGCAAACCCTGATTATGCCACAGTAAGACACCAGGATGGAAGAGAATCTATTGTTTCCCTCAAACATTTGGCCCCAAGAGGAGACTTGAATCTATTAACCTATAATAATAACGAAAATCAACAAAGTAATCAAGATATTTCAGAAAATATTACCAATATCCCATCTCCCAGTTGCCTCAGGATTTCCGATCTTTACAAACCTCCAAATGATACCACCGATACTTCTATTTCAGAGACTCGTTTTCCTGATAATCCGGTCACCCTTGTACATGACGATAAACAAATCGATTTTGTTCAGCAACCTGATACCATCCAACAAATTCGACATCCAAGAGAAAGAAGACCTCCAAAATATTTAGATGACTACGTTTCAAAATAATGCCGGGGAGAATGTAATGAAAAACTGTGTTCATGTTTTATATTAGTTTTGTACATCCTGTATGGTTTATTTATTCTTTGTTATAGAGTTGTCATATTATTTACTGTCACTAAAATTCTGTTCAATAAAGCCTAATTTCAGAAGGTATTTTCATTACAATACTATTACAGACTACTGAGTAAATAGTATAATAAGATAATAGAAGAAATAAGTAAGCAGTTTGTTTTTCATTTCATTTCAAAGGAGGCAATTTTCTTATATATTGCCCACCTAAACTCAAAACTCACTGGTATGGATATGTTTTTGTATACACTTACCGGTGATATTTATTACTTTCTTCTTATCTATACTAGATATATTGAAACAATTTAGTTTGTACAACGTACCATTATTTTACTTTTTGAATTAGTCTAATAAGTATAGTCTCTAAAGAGAAATTACTACACTATAATATTAATAACATCAAAAACACGTAGGTACACATGCAATAAACTGTCCAAATTTCATACCAATATGGCGAAAATGGTGTTCCTTATATTACGTGATGTCATTTCAATCTCTTCTCACCTCCCTGGTACAAATAGATCAACATCACTATTTATTTTTAGTAAAGGTACTACAGGTTTGGGGCTCATTAAATAGAATTGGTTATATTAAGTGATTCTATGAACTAAACATTGTTCAACATTTTATAAACAAAATATTTTTCTTTTAGCATGGCATACCTCTTATCAAAGTTCAGATTAGATTATTACAGTTTAAAAATGGTATCACTAGTAGACAAGCCTCAAGATTCGACTATATCCTTTTTCAATGAACTATTAGATAGATTCAAGACAAACGAAGAAGTCAAAGAAAGTGGTAAGTATTGTATAATCGTAATTGGAAGCAAGCATTTTGTAAAAAAAAATATGCAAAATACGACCAAATAATAGATAAAATACAAGGTAATATAGTCTATCTCCAGGTTTGATTTTTAGTCGTGGTTGCACAAATCGCCTAATAATAAATAACAACTACTTCCAGGGCTATAACCTCATCAGGATAATAAATTACAAGTGTGATGATCGACTCTGTCGATACAACCCCTTCAATTTATTTCAGGAGCTATGACCGATTTCACCATATTTGAGGTTCTTCAGGTAGCGTGTAAAATAATGCACTAATCTACTCTGAAGATAATCTACACCTAGTTCGAAAAGACAACTTATCTAAAACTCGGAACTGGAGCTACATAGGTGACGATATTACCCTGTATCTATTTAGGAAAAGTTGATTTCTAGTCAGAAATATTTATTGATAAGCATTTTTTTAAATGTGGCAAATATTGAATGTTTCCCAATTCTAGCAACAAATTTTGTTCAACGGTAAACAAAGAATTGCTTAATTTTTATTCCTGTTAGGGCCTGATTACAATAAGAACAACCCAGATACGTCATCATTTGGCGAAGTAATTATAATTGGCTATCGCCTTCTACTGGGGTTTTAGTAGTGTATTAATATTAAAAGAATAAAAGATATATTTTTATACCCATAACTTACGTATTCTTTATTTATTGATAGTTATACACGCAGTGGTGTTCTTATTTTAATCGAATTCTACCAAATTGATATTTTATTTATTAATAGCCAGATAAAATTAATTTCTTATTTCTACAGATTGTATGGTGAGTACAGCAGAAATTTTGGCATCTCAAGATAAAACTTATAGGCAGCTGCGATTAAGGGAACTACTGCTACAATATTCCAGTGATGCCAATTTAATAGTCATGTAAGTTTAAAAAAGTAAAATAACGAATATTTCTAGAACTGCTGGTTTTTGTTAAAATGGAGGCAAAGAATACCTACCCAAGAAGCGAAACTGAATTAGTTTTCGTATGTACCATAGCAAAGGAACTTAATACACTGGGAAATGTATGAAAATTAATCAATTTTTGTTGTTTGGTTCATATGAATTAAACACATACTAACGTAACAATGATAGAAAATTCTTACTATGTTCATTATGTCAAATAGATTACTTTAATAACGAAATAAGTACTGTAGGTACAATAATGACAGTCACTACACAATAGTGAAAGCAGATAACCTGGTCATTCTGCAAATAGGGAATTTTGAGGACAATTATTATGGAACAGTGGTGCAAGGACCATTCACTGTCTATCAATCCCAATAAGACAGAAATGGTCCGTTTCACAAGGAAAAGAATGAAAATTGAATTAAAACCTACAGAGCTCCTAAACACATAATAAAACTTTGCAACAGAGGAGATAGCACCAAGTTAACATGGAACTCACGCCTAGAAAACAGAATCAGAAGAGCTAACATTCCTTATATGAACAATGCCGCCGAATTGTGGGGTGCACCTGGAGTTTCTTCCCCAGAGTCATCACATGGACTTACATGGCCATCATAAGACCTATGCTTACATACGGCGCACGTCGGTACCAAAAATTCAAAAATAGAACAAATTCAAATAACAGCATGTCTCAATATAACAGGAGCCATGAAAACCACACCAACCAGAGCCATGGAAGTCGTTCTTAGTCTCATTCCCCTTAATATGTTCATTAAGAGGAAATTGCTCTGAAAACAATGACACGCCTCTGCACGGTTGGAATAGAACCTGAAGTACGATCTGGTGAGGCGAGACGTCGCTTTTGGCAAAAGGCGCTCGGTATGCTCCCACTGCTTCAAGCCAACATAATCTTCATCTCACCGAGATATATCTTCCATGAGCCATATGAAGTTATAACAGAATAAATTGAAGAGCCGGAAGTGGCAGGTACGATTCATATCTACACCGACGGTCTAAAACAAAACAATGCTCAGGATGTGGAATATACTTCAATTCCTTAAACCTCAACATAAAATGGGCTGTGAGCAATAGTATCAATGTAGTTCAAACTGAGCTCTCATAGCAGCAAAAGAAATCACCAGAAGCGATATCACTAGTAGGAACATGCTCATCTATACAGATAGCAGATAAGCACTACTTACCCTGAACAGACTACGAATTTACTCATGATTAGTACTAGAATGTCACGAAGCTTTGGCAAGAGTATCCATCCAACAATGATGGATTAAGATGGATCAAAGGTGACGCCACATCGAAAGGTAGCCTTCTTGCTGATTTACTAGCTAAGAAGGCGGCCAACCAAATACTTTTTGGACCTAGCCCTTCTATTGGACTAACAACATCGGTAGTGACATACTTAATTAAAGAATGTTCCTTGTGAAATTGAAGGAGATATGGGATGAAACAAGAAAGTTACCAGGGAGCTTTTAAGTTATCCTGACAACACTACAACAAACAAATACTTGACTATCACCAGACCGAATCTGCGTCTGATTACAGGCATTCTGACTGGTCATTGCCAAGTACGGAAGCATCTTTATATCATGGTGATGTCAGAATCCGCATCCTGCAGGGGGTGCAAACAAAAAGATAAGACCATTGAGCATATCCTCTACGATTGCCCGTCGCTTTCATATATTAGAAGATTTGTTTTCGGTGAGTATTGGATAACATCGGCCGATATAAGAGAAGTACCTCTTGGGGACAAAATTTTAATTTTTCTTTTGGTTTTGTCTGACTTTTTCGAGGATTTCAAATCTCTGTTTGCATATTTAAGAGTATAAAAAATTCTAATTTAATGGTGTACATTTTCGCAAATTGTTGGCAAGGATAACCAAATTCTATCTCAAAAAGGTATGCGTTGGAAATTCCAGGCTTAGTTGACAAACTATCAAATAGAGATATATAAATATTTTTTCTAATTTGAAAATATAAAAGAGAAATTTTTTGCTGGCAGATTTAAATTGCCAAACACCTTTTCTTCAGAGTCGTATGCTTTAAAATGCTCCTACATGATGGAATTTTACATCGAAGTGTGTCAATACTATTTATGTTTACAAAGAGGATTTGATTAAATGTCTCGAAGAAATTATGAACACAAAATTCGATAAAAAAAAACTATTAATCAGATTAAAGGGTTGATAAATTTTGAAAGACAGATTTTAGTTTCTGGTTATTTTTCTTCAGCAAAATAATGCCAAATTGCGATATACTTTTTGATCAACTGCAGAGTAGACAGCTCGATGCTCTCAAGGTTAAGATAAACATATCAAATTTTGCAGCAGCTATTCAAAATATTAGAAATAATGTAGACACGCTAATTCATGAAGAATGGCAATCACAACAAGACCCACAAGAACTAAACTTAAACGACAACACCCAATCAGGTCCAAGTACAAGCAAGAAGAGACGGTTTGTTGAAAAGGAGGACCCCATTCCTAATTTAAGGATATGAACGTTTTAGTTTTACTACTCACCTAACAATTGCAAGTTTATTTGATAGTGAAAAATTTAAAGACTACCGAGGTTGTTTTCCAAATAAGGACGTTAAAACTGTGTGTAGTTTATTTCCAAACGTAAACAGTTTAAAATTCAACTATGTCCATACTTTACACCCGAGATGACTTTGTGCAACACAATGGGGCCGTACCGTTATTACAAATGTTTTTTGAGAACAATTTGACAATTACATTTTCGGAATCTGTGGAGCTGCTTACTATCCTGTGTACAATTCCCATGACCACAGTGGAGAGTGAAAGATGTTTTTCGACACTAAAACGTATTAAAATATTTTTAAGGAACACTATGTGCCAAGATAGATTGTGCGCGTTAGCCATATTATCCATGGGAAAAAAACTTATTCCGTCCATTCCAAATTTTAATTATCTGGTCATCGATCACTTCGCTAGCCAAAAATCCAGAAGAATGGACTTTAACTGTAAGAAATAGTATACAACTGCAGCGGTACCTAGCAGTTAGTCTTCAATTTTGTAATATTTAATTTGTTTTGAAATATATTTTTTATTTTCATTAAGCGGAGAACTTGTTTTCCTAAGGGAAAAACGAATCCCGGCATTCCTTTCCAGTGTGTGCCCCACTGCCGCTAGTGCCCACAAGCCGCCACTGTTAGCGACTTAAACATTCTATTGAAATGGATTAAATGTGACAGTGATTTAAATAACTTCTTCTTCTAGCCAGTCAGCAGTCTTCTAAAGAGGTGTGAGGATTGGTTATTTCCAGTCTGTATATAAATTTTCCCCAATTATATCTCTGAATTGGGGTGAGTTTATCTACCAGCAAAGATAAATGTTCTGGATTCAATAAAGAATAAGAATCAATATTTTTTTATAGTAGTGTAACCATATTTATTATAGTGTTCAGGAAAAAATACTGTTGTCGAGTTTATCTTCTCTAATTGGGTTTAGTGTTCGCACTTTCTGTAATAGAGATAAGGCAATCCACTCTTGGCGATCAAAGTTCATCTCTAGTAGCTTAATAATTTTATTTAAGTTATTTGCCGAAATGAGAAGGGCTTTAACAGTGCCTCTGGTCTTACCCTTCAAAGCTCTGTTTTAGCGTACCAAAGTTTCTTGATCAGAAAGGTTAAAGCACTCAGAAGTACGCTTAAACTCGGAAATAAAAACAGACAACTCAGAGACGTCACCAGCAAAAGAAGGTAGATCTTTTAATTTTGAACGTAATAGTAGTTGATTTGTCATGTAACTCTTCTGCACACACACACTTCTTAGCTATATCAAGAAGCAAATCATTATTAGCTTTATTATCTTCTTCAGCTTTTTGCACATTCATTTAGGATGAAGGGATGACGCTTCATGAATTTTATGACTTCTATCCTCCAGAGACACAAAAGATTGGGCGGGTATAGACACGGCACATTGTCTGGCATCATTAATCCAATTATTAAATTTTCCAGGGGTCATAAAGCCTTTCTGAAACGGGCAGTTCATCATCACTATCTTGCTCTTCCGATATCAAATGCTCAATTTCTACTTCTTTTATCAGTAACTCACGTTTCCTATTGATTATACGCAGCTCTTCTTCGTCAAGTTTCTTTTGTTTTTCAATTAATTGTAATTACATGGTTAACTGAGATTTTGCTCTTGTTGATAGAGATAATCGTGATTTTTCTTTTTGAATTACAGGCACAGAATTTTGTTTACTAGAATGTATAATTTCAGATTTTTAAATTTTAGATGTGTTCGCAGGAGGACTAACATTTTCACATGCTTTGGAAGTTGTTGCTACTTCATTGTTGGACTTAGCATTACAACCTTCCACCATCGTAGCAGGATATCTCCTTGGGGAACACCTTAATTATATCTGCAGCTCCTTCTAGTATTTTCCTTAGCGCTTAATTAATTAGCTCGAAAGAATCAATGTTTGGAAAATAAGTCATTCTTTTATTAAATAAGCGGATTAAAGGCGTGTTATTTAGTTTAAAATTATAAAGAAGCATACTTTGAGCCAATAAAATAGTTATTTGTGAACCAAGGCCGTAAAGCTGATCTTTTTTGGCCGATGCTGTTACTTGCAAAATACAAAATTATTATTCAAAATGCAAATATTTATCAATATTTAATTTTATTATATTCACATATTATATACAAATCAAAAATACATAGCAAACATGATGATACAAATAAAATGAACATAGTGAATTAGTAATAATTAGTTAAGTATTAGCTGCTGTTATTAATAGTAGAAGTAACTTCTGGGTAGAGCAAAAAAGATCAAGCAGTCTAGATGCACATTACATTGCTCTTTGGCGTTATAAGGAAATCGACATTGCTCCTTAAAACTCAGAGATGGATTAAGCTTAATAGTTTTTGCAAACGTCGTATATGGTGATAATAACAATATTTACTTGACCGATAATGTTATAAATATTAGACAGTCGATCTTTTTAACATAAAACTGTCCTAAAAACTTATCATATGAATTTGAAAAAAGTATTTATTTTAGTAGGTAGCTATTCTGTTTTGAAAAAAATATAGCATGGTCGGCGGTTTGATTTAGCCTTCGCGGTACATTTTGGTCTTCCTTTTGGTTTTTGTCTGGCGATTGAAGCAGGATACTGCGAAACTTGTGTATCCACTTTCCGATAAGAACTGGATCTCGTAAAATTAAATGAAAATGAATGCGAAATAGATTCTGGGTGGTTACAATAGAATTTTTTTTTTTTAACTAAGCTTAAACAGCGAAAGAACGTTAAATATTGGACCAACGCTACATTTTCACAATGAAACTGACATTTCTCACATACATTGCCATTTATTGAGAACGGATTTGAATTTAGATCTTATTATACCATTGAATAAATGCAGTTTAAAAATGGATACGCCATTCTGTCTGACCCTGTATTAACTCCTTTTTCAGCCTGATTATTTCAATAACAAAATTTACACCATCACTAACAAATATTAATTTTTCAGGTCGCTTCCTATGCCACGAAAAGGCACTGTATCAGCGCCGCTATACATGGCATGGTTAGAAGCACTTACTAGAGATATGCCCCCTTATTTGCTGGTCAGGGGCAACCAACAGTCTGTGTTAACTTTCTATTCTTAAATGTATATAGATTTTATTGGTAAAGCGTTTATTTTATATTGTAAATTTTGTTAAGTAATTTATATATCAAGTAGTGTTTTTAAAAAATAATAAATGACATATGCTAGTTTGTGTTTATTTTAATTCCACATAATATCACAATTCTTCATGAGAATTTCTGTACATTCCTTTGAACATGTGTCCACTTCATTTAGGAGATATTAGGAGAATTCCAACCAGGTAACAAACATTTTCGAATTCGGAGACATTTTTTGTGAATTTTGGTGGTCTTTCGCTGGCACTTGTCAACAAACACATTCCTTAACCTATTTTTTATTGAAATAACGTACAATAAAGGAATTTCTCATAAAGTTAGGGTAATACCGACCATATCATAATACAACGAAAAATAAACGCTATTAAAGAAAAAACATATCAACAAAAATCACAAGTATAGGGTTTACTAGTGTTACAACCGGCACATTCAGAATGTGAAGATTTGGCACAGCTGCTGCAACTAACCCACCACTCTCCATCTTTCCCAAATACTTCACATATGTTGGACGGTTCCGTGGCAACTTCTTGTTGTTTCATTTTCTTCGATTTATTGTTTTCCTTATCTTTTGTTTTATTTTCGACATTTGCTCCTGTGAGATTTCTTTTCACTTGTTTGTTGTCAACAAGACTTAATTTTCTTAGTTTTATTTTTTCCTTTCCAGGTCTTAGATTTTTATAGTTAATCTCCATTGCTACGGTTTTTTTTTTTTTTTTTTTTTTTTCTTTGCGTTTTTATGTTCCGAATTGTTTGTCTTCACCTTCAAGTTTACCTCCTTGCTGCTCCTCCTCGTGTGGTGTCAGTTCCTCTGGATTGATAACTCTGGGATTATAGGGATAAATACCAGTTGACCCAAACATTTTTGCAGCTTTCCCTATTGTAGCAGTTTTGTTATAAGCCTTTTTAAATAGTTCAGCGATATCAGTCTGTTGAATTCTTTGATATTTATTAGACTTCATGAAGTTGTCGCATTCTTGATTGTAGGCTATTTTAAGAGGGCCGTAAAAACATATGTCGCTGCAAACGGTGAGTTTTATGGGGTGGTAACGCATAACGACAATTCAAAAAAAAATGTTGCTTACAGTGATCAAATACTTTCAATGTACCATGGCTTGAAAGGTTGTCTATAATTAGTAACACCGGATCGTAAACTAAGCATTTTGAATATGCAGCAAAATATCGTAACCATTCAAAAAAAAGTCTTCATTTACCCAGCCGTTTTTGGAAACTTTGTATATTGCGTTAGTGGGCCCGGCCCGTTTTTTGTTAATTCGTGCTGCATTTTACCCCTGCCAAAAATAAACATTTGCGGCCCAAATCATTGTGGTTAGCTTTCCTCTCTCTCCATTTGTTATTGCCCCAACTTGCTTCTGGTCCTTAACAGCTAATATACGACCTGGAGTATGAACATTGGTCACACCTGTTTCTCATCGACATTGTAAATCATGTTTGGACTAACATTATACTTGTCAAATACCGATGAACGATTGTCAAAAAATATTTTACTTCATTTGCATTAAATGCTAAAACTCGATTCAGTAAAGTTGCTTCAGGTTTTCTTAAAGAAATTTTGGGTTTCGCCGTAGAAAACCGTAATACCAATCAAACCCGCATATTTTTGCCTCTGAATTAAAATTATGGGAAATTTTATTTTTTTTAGCATATTCATATGAAATTTTTCGTACTTGTGGTGTAACACCATAAAACCGTTTTGAAAGAGCAATGATCTGTTCACACAATTCTTTCTCCTGTTCAGGAGTAAAAACAGGTTTCCTTCCCATATATTACATTTTTCCACAGGGGCCTTGCCTTTTAATTTATCCTGAAGGGTACCATACGGTACGCCATATTTTCTAGCAGCTTCTCTAATGCCTACTCCACTCCTAACGACCGCTAGAGCACGTAAAGCCTTGGTTTCTTTGAACACTTCGTCACGGTGAGCGGACAGTCCGTCAACCGTCGCGTTTTGACGATTTTATCCAACCAGAGTATTTAAATGGGAATGGTTTTCTTGAATCCGCTTAGCTGAACAGGACGGCGGTCGACCGCTGAGGACAGCAATTTTCGCCCGAGGTGGTTTGTTTAAAAACATAGAAAATGATACTTTCTCTATGTCTGTACGTGCTGTTTATGTTTTCGAAATGGATGCAAATAAATTGTTTGCGTTGTTATTATTGTTGGAAAAAGGAAGAACAAGAGGAACTGGCAATTGCAACCGTCAAAGTTTCCAATAAGCCAGTGGATGAGTTGTTTTTGTGTCGCGATACATATGGTACCTTTAATATCACTGTGCAGCGGAGGCTTTTTGGAAATGAAACCAAATTTAGGGAGTATTTTAGACTTTCTACAGATCTTTTTGATTTCGTGTTGTTTTATAAAGGACATAATTTCCAAGAAACCTAAAAATAAAGTCATGATGTCATCTGTATGTGTGAATTTGTCACTCATTGTTTTAAAATTAATAACAATATAGTCTCCGCACACGCCGACGATTCCGCTGATATCAAACTCAATAGATATCAACCGACTCTTCGCGACAAATCAGCGGCATGACGCCGTCCTGCTCAGCTAAGCGGATTCAAGAAAACCATTCCCATTTAAATACTCTGGTTGGATAAAATCGTCAAAACGCGACGGTTGACGGACTGTCCACTCACCGCGACGAAGTGTTCAAAGAAACCAAGGCTTAAGGAAGACTGCAAAAGTGTCGTGGAAAAATGAAGATATGTTAAGCCTTGGTTTCTTTGAACACTCCGTCGCGATGAGCGGACAGTCCGTCGACCGCTGAGGACAGCAATTTTCGCCCGAGGTGGTTTGTTAAAAAATATAGAAAATGATACTTTCTCTATGTCTGTACGTGCTGTTTATGTATTATGAATGTAAACGAAAGGTACTAAAATGGTTGCAAATAAATTGTTTGCGTTGTTATTATTGTTGGAAGAGGAAGAACAAGAGGAACTGGCAATTGCAACCGTCAAAGTTTCCAGTGATTGAGTTGTTTTTCTGTCGCGATACAGAAGGTGCCTTTAATATCACTGTGCAGCGGAGGCTTTTTGGAAATGAAACCAAATTTAGGGAGTATTTTAGACTTTCTACAGATCTTTTTGAATTCGTGTTGAGTTTTATAAAGGACATAATTTCCAAGAAACCTAAAAATAAAGTCATGATGTCATCTGTATGTGTGAATTTGTCACTCATTGTTTTAAAATTAATAACAATATAGTCTCCGCACACGCCGACGATTCCGCTGATATCAAACTCAACAGATATCAACCGACTCTTCGCGACAAATCAGCGGCATGACGCCGTCCTGTTCAGCTAAGCGGATTCAAGAAAACCATTCCCATTTAAATACTCTGGTTGGATAAAATCGTCAAAACGCGACGGTTGACGGACTGTCCGCTCACCGCGACGAAGTGTTCAAAGAAACCAAGGCTTTACATATTTGAAAGGTACATACAGGAACTAAAAGCTGTCGATTTTGGGTAATACCGACCGCACTGGTCGGCATTAACCTAAAACAAATGATTTAAAAAATTGGATCACTGTTTTGTTAAAATAAGGTTAGGTTCAAACTTTTAAGAAAAATTAAATGGTAACATAACTTATCCCATATCAATCGCCATTATTCTAACTTAAGTAATTTCATCATACTTACGTTTTATTTGCCAAAATTGCATTAAATGATGTTGCCGCTAAACACAAACTCACACCTGCGAACGATTTGCTGTGATTACCGCGTGTATCTAGGAGCTTTATTGTTCTGACGGAGGTGGCGCTGGTTATACTAGCCAGAGGCGGGAAATTTAAGGTTTAAATTAGGTGGTCGGAATTACCCGTGTGGTCGGAATTCCCCGAGTCTCCCTTATTTAAAAAAAATGTTTTTAACAAACTTAGTAGTTTAAAGTGATATAACAAAAGTTATTATTGTTTGTTTTGTAATAATGAGTCTCAAACATTTTAAACTGCATTTCATTATGGATAACATAGCAAAAAAAAGCAAAAGAAAGTCTTTATAGGGACAAAAGATCCACTTACACATTTTCAGGTGTAAAGCAGTTTATTCAATCTCTACCTTTTTTTGCCTCGGACATTCCTGCTATTAATTTAGCCAGTCTCCAAGACCCTTATGGTCCAATTAAATAACGAAAAAAAGCCCCTTCGAGCTTACATTAATTTGTAATTGGATGAAACAAAGTGTACCTTATGTATTTTGATGTGATCTTTCCGAAAATGAGCAAAAAGATGTAGCTGTGGTTCAATTTTTTTTAAATTAGAAAAAACCGGGTTTTCCGGAATTTTCCATGGTAAAAATACTAATTATCTGAGCAAGTATCATTCCGATAGTAAAAATAAATGCACAAATCGAAAGAGGAGGCAAAAATAGTTCGGACATTCATTGCACAGGTAGTCTTAATGGCGAATTTCTCGCCGCCAGAAGTGCTTTTACCAAAAAGTTGTTTTTTCGTTTCTTTGATCAGAACCATGGACATGAAATTTGCGATGAATTTGTGGCGAAATTATAAATGTTAGACATATGTGCCCATGAAAGAAGTTGCGTATTTTTTTGTTGGCTCTCAAATAAAATAAGTCCCGCTTCGAAATCTGCCATAATTTTTCGGGAATTCGCAGGAAACCGGAAGGCGTAGTTTTTTTTTTAGTTTTTTCCCATATGATTTTCTCCGGGTTTTCCGAAAACATCTAACAAAAAAATATATTTGAAAAAAACTAACTTCGGCATCGGAAAGAGCACAAAAAAATACACAAAAAGGTATACTTTAAAAATGTTAGGAAATTAATCCTAAGCCTAAGTGTAAGTTCCAACTTGGTGATAAGCTTGTTTTTTGTTCTCTAACATCTGGTTTTTAGTTATTTACAAGAAAACTTGAAATTGGAGAAGATATATATGCATGACAAAAATACGTATTTTCTAGTTACGTTCCGAATGAGACGGGTTGGGTGGCGAAATCTGCAATACTTCTTGAAAAAATTGCAAATTTTTTCTTGATTTCTCGTACTTTTTTCTTAAATAACTCGAAAACTAATTATCTGAATAGAAAATGTTTCCATCAGATGAAAGAGAAAAAAAAAAGACGAAAAACTGTGGCATATACATTTTTTCTAGCATCCACTGTTTTCTGAGCGCACGTGGGCAAAGATCGGTAATCTCGCGAGAATTGAAGCTACTCGAATTTTCTCGAGAAAAGGGGCGTTTTCTGGCAATTGGGAGAGAAAGTAAGCTTGTTTCTCATTAAACTTACTGAT